GGGGCGGCCGGTGCGCCATGCTGGGCTGCCTCTCCAAGGAGGAGCAGATAGGCCGCTGCTCTCTCCGGGGTCGGAAATGCTGCCGGAAAAAGAAATAGGGATCAGACGTGAGGAGAATGTTGGGGCGATCCCTCCTTCAAGTTTATAAAGCTAAAACCAAATTAAAAATTTTTTTCAAAAATTTAGAAGCTTGATTTTTTTTTAACACTCTGGTTTTGTGGGAAGTTGTTACCAAGCAGGCAACTGAGAGAGGCTAATGACTCACCTTACATCAGCTTCTGCACCGTGTTTGTCTTTAGTGGGTTTTGGACCTCAGCAACACTGGACTCTTTCTGGAACATTCCTTTGCTCCCTCATCCTCCATACCCCTGGGCTTTACCGTCCTTCTTCCCAGGACTTCACCGTCTTTCTTCCCAGGACTTCATCTCTCTGAAGCTACCTCTAAAACCTTAATGCATCCCTCAGTCACCAATCCAAATCCTTCCAGAAAGTTCTCCTCAGAAACGGGGACCCTGGCCCTCCTTCAGTACACCCTTTGCTTTCCTGCTGCCCAGGCCTCTGAGCTGGTGGCCTCAGAACTGGCATCAGCTCGCTGCTCCCACCTGTCTCCAAACGCTAGCGCCTCCGTGTCTGTCTCCTCCCGCCTGCTGCACCCGGGCTCTGACGTGAGTGCTGCCTCTGAAGGTCTCTCGGTGTCTGCCCCTGTCCATTTGCACACTGTGGGTCCCCACACGGGTGGTAGGATGCGAAGTCCAGACCTTCCTGGACTGTTGGTAAAGCGCCCTGAGCGTGGGGGCTGCCCGGCAAGCACTGGCTGGACCAACGTCCATTCATGAGCTTTGGATGTTCCACTGTTTAAGGATCCAGCATCTGAGTGGTGGTCTGTCCTCCCTGACCCCAGTCCCCCAGGCTAAGCACTGTGGTAGAACAGCAAGACTACTGGGCTCTCGGGGATAGGGGAATGAAGACCCCTGAAGCAGCCCACACCCCACCCACCGTCCATCCAGGAAGCATCGCTGAGTGCCCTCCAACAGTTCACAAGAAGGGGCCAGACAGAAGGTGAGGACAGGCACCATCCAGTGGGGGACGTGACTGCAGACAGAGGGAAGCAAGAGGAGCTTACGACTGCCCGGCCTGCTCCTGGGCAGGGCCTGCAGGTGCCAGGAGGGGGCCTCAGCCTGCCCAGCAGTGCAGCCAGGAGGAGACTGAGGTCATAACTATGGGCACAAGACCCCTTCTGCAGAGCAGAACTCCCTCCCAGGTGCTGTTGGAGAAGGGGGCTTCAGTCAGCCACAGGAAGGCAGAA